ATACTTTTATGTTGTATTTCAGATATTTTTTCATACCTATCTGCAATATTTTAAAACTAAACACATATATTAAATTACTATATAGTTCACACCTTGTCGTGTTGTTCGAAAGTTTCGTAGAATAAAAAGTTTTTTGTTTGAAGTATTTTTCGAACATTATAACGAAGAACATCGGCGTCGTTTTTTCAGGTCGAACATTGTAAACTTCGATATTTGTGAAAGTGTTATTTTGCTTTTGGTGAGTTATTATGTTATTATATTTATATTATAATATTAAAATGTATAATAATAATAAAATATATTGTAATTTTAATATATTCATGAAGTTGTTTGCATATAAGATTATGTTCATTTTTACATAAAATCTGGCTCCAAAGAAATAGCGTAGAGAACAATCTGGAATATGTCAGGCATCTTTAATAAAAATGAACTTCACTTAAGCTTCATAGATCGTCTTTTATAAATATATCTCTTATAACAAAAAATGTATTTATTTCATATGAAATCGACTGATAGTTTACTTGTCTATATATAGACTTTCCAATAAGTCACATATACATATATACTTTCTACATATGTATGTATACACAAAGATTTAATAATCAATTTTTTTAACATTAATGAAAAATTCCTGTGTCAATAAAGATTTATCTTGTTTTTCAGATAATAAATACAAGTTAAGATTGTTAAAAAGATGGAAAATAAAAATAAGATGTCTTTTGCACATAAATTATGGTATTTAGCTAATAAGGAAGATGTTTTATGTGTCGTATGGGTCAAAAATGAGGATGCCATACGTCTGAACATGATTCTTTTGGAAAAGTACTTATGTTCTGAAGACTCAATATTTTCTATTAAATCAGCAAGTCATTTTGCTAAATACCTTGTATGCTATGGTTTCATAAGTGTGATAACGAAAAGTGATCCATTTGGCCAGAATATTATTATTAAGCATAAGAATTTTACACGAGATGGAAAAAAACTTGACTTAATAACTAACTCATGTAGTAAGAAAAATATAGTAGATTGTGAGCGACATAATTTGCACAACGACTTTGGAGAGTTTTCAATGCGTCCATTCGTTCCAAACGAATTTCAAGGCGATGACACCATCCCATGCCAGTTTTCGGAAGAACAACTGAAGGAATTTTTTGGAGACGATTACTCAAAAGTACAAAAAAACGAAATAAAAATAAGTTCTAAACAAATGTAAGTTTAAAAAAATTTTTTTTTTTTGTTTTTATTGTAATAATTATATCGTTTTTTTTTGTAATAAAAATAATAATATAATTGTGTCATTAACGTATACTGCAGATAAAAAAAACAGTTACCGTTAAAGACATCGAAAGTTTTCTCAACGACTGAATCAACACAGCGGATAAAGAAATAGTTGTCGTTGAAGAAAAATACGAGAATCACTTCAATGATGGGATGAATAATATGGATATAGAAGAAAAACTAGTAGATACAATTACAGTCCTCTTCCACCTCTTCTCAAAGATCATGCATGTATTGGTACAATTGTTTTCGCGAACAGCATGGAAAAAGAAACAAATCGCGTTATAGTAGATTTTATTGATATGAGTATTAAGGATGCAATGCACCCTGTGGAAAAAGAGAACAAACCTATGGCCTATCGTGGGAGAGATAATCGAGAGTTTTAAAAACGATTATTACAGTGTAAATTATCATTTAGAAAATGCCATAAAAAATATAAACGATAATAGAAACGTGTACACCGTAGATTAATGTAAAAAAGAAATAAAGAAAAACTCAGCTGTGGAGAAAGGAAGAAAAACTTTCGTAGAAGACCCCAGTTATTTTACGAAACTATTGATGATAACGGAGGTACCAAGCACACCTGACGTAGATGAGGATTTCAATATTCTTACTGTAATGCAACAGGCCTCCGATTAAAATTATTATTATATACTAAAGTAAACATAATTTTATATAATTTATGTTTACTTATTTTTAAAAAGAGTTAACCGTAGTTAATGTGACTACTTTAAAGAAGAACGGAAACTATTTGTGGAGGATTTAAGACACCTACCACCTCATAGCAGCATCACAATGGCAATGTGGTCTAATAGTATTAAGTAGAATGCAACAAAAAGTTTCAACTCCAATCATGCGGCGTTTTAGATATTTGGAAGAGAAGCATAGATCGCTATCACAATTCACATGATTAGGGAGCGCATTACTGATAAGAACAGTTGCACTAACAACAGCATAAATGACTGATAGAAATACATAAGCGGAAAAATGAAGTCAAGAGAGAAAATGCCGATAAACAATAGACGTTTGAATTCTGGATGACATCTTGACGAAACACCAAATTGATGAAGCCGAGTGGGTTACTCATAGGACATCGGCATGATTTTAAGTTAAAGTCTAAAGTTGATTTAATGGGATTGATTGCTTTATACTTCGTAAAAAAACCTCTGAAAGTTTTTAATAGTTGTAAACGTTATCTAAGAAAAACATTCGTGCATTTGAACACAAAAAAGGATGCCACGGCTGATATAGTTCCTCAAAACTACTATCAAATGCTTTCAGTCTTGCTAATTTCATGAGGCCAAAATACTGAAGATAGCTGAGCAGTGTGCATACTAGCATCCGAGCATTCTCTTTTCTGCTTAAGATAACTTACAGATCTATTAAATTAAAAACTTACTGTCATATTGTAGTGTACTGAGATACGAACTTTATACACACAATTAAATGTAGGTGATCCGGTTATTAACTCGGAATTCACATTAACAACACAACAAAGT